AGAAGATGTAAAGCCACAGGAAGATGTCACACAAAAGCAGTGTCAGGCTGGGAAACTTGGTGGTGGGGGCAAAACTGTAGCGTATCAAGAGCATTCAGGAAGATAGACATGTCAGGAAAACCTTGCAAATTATGAACTAACTTCCCTCCAACTAGGTATCCAGTGCAATGGCCAGCAAAACATTGCAGGTACATACTTAAAAAACAATGCATTATAAATAATGTTGCTGCATTTTTCTAAAATGGGGTTTGAAAAATTACTCTTCAGCACTCTATCCTTTTGCATGACCCTGCTGAGTTGGATGTTTGTGCTGGTTATGGTGGCATCTGTTGCTGGGAAATTAATTGCTTCCTTCCATCATTGGTTTCAAACAATTCTATTTTTGCCCTATACCGTGAAGGGGAGCAATGAAAGAGGGTTCTAGACCTTAAGCAGCAGCATGGGAAGGCAAAGTGTCTGTTATAAGACACTCATAGTTCCAGAAATAATCTGAGTTTCAGACTTGTGAAAGTTTCTAATGTCTAATATTCTATCAAATTATGATTACTTTAAAAATCCTTTGATCTCAGTGGGAGTTTCCTAGACCGAGAGTTTTCAAAACTGGTTTGGAGTCACTAAAACATCATGAGAAAAGGTCGAAATTTTAAAAGGTGTTACCCAGTAAACCAATAACTAAATGTTGTCTCTGTCACATTTATTTGTGATGATATTGCTTGGGAAAGCAGAGGTGGAGACTAAACAGTTCTTTTTCTGAGAGTTGAAAAATTTCAATCTTTACAGAGAAAGGAACTGCAAAATTAACAGTAGCAAGAATTCTAGGACTCTTGCAATGAAATACGTGAAATTTCTTAAGAAGTGTCCTTCTCTGTGTATGGTCCTTTGGCTGAATACAGGTTTGAAAATACACGAAAAGTTTACCCTTATGATCATAACAATCACTCCTTTTGGGGGATTACTAGATGCTAGGTTCCTCCAGTTTCTCAGGGCTTAAATTACTAGAGAATTCAGAACTTCTGAAATTGATGCTGAGGATCTGATATTGCAATCATGCCCCAGTGGAGGAGTCGCAAAGGGAAAAAAGACTCACTGCAGGGAGTGTTGTCAATGCTCCAGCACAGATATTCTAGCAAAAGATCATATGTGGCATTTACAGCCCTGTTCTGACTCTTTGCTATCAAGCAAAGAGTCAGAACATATTATATTTTGTTCCTGTTTAAGAGTTAAAATATGTGGTGTAGAGTGCAATTACAAGGATGTCTCTTTTGTCAGAAAAGCTCTCACACAGCTTTCACCAGCAATTAACATGAATCCAGACTTGCTCTGCATTTTTTACTAATGTATCCTGCCATACCTTCATAGGAGGCAGTCTTAATTCTGAGTCTCTGGGCTGTAGTCACCTCACCTGGACAATTCACTGATCTCTTGGCAACACTCCTTCCCTGAATGTGAGCAATCTGCGAGCTGGGTATAGTGTCTTCATAGCAGCAGGAGCCTGTCCCTGGCTCCCTGTCATTCAGCAGGTGCACGTTCAACTTGTGATAGAGAAGAGGCAGAGGAGCCCATGGCAAAGATGATAGCCAAGACTGAGTTGACAGAATAATTCCTTCATCCACACATACTCCCTGCCCAGGAAGAGGTGCTGCGTTAATTGCGCTGCAGGCAGGAAGCGCACACAGGTGTTGACGATGGAGATGATAAGAGGACTGCAGGATAAGATGATAAGAGACTGAAGGGTATGACCCGCCCCAAGACTGGAAGCAGTCGTGTGGTCCTTCTCACCAAAAGCTTGACACTGTTCCTTTGTGTTACGGATTTCACACTGACACAAACTATAGAAGAAATAAAAACCTTGCTTTCTTTGCTAGCATCTGATTTTCTTTTTTCTCCATTCTCAATAGTCAGCTCCATGGTAGCTAACAGTTAAAACAACCCATTTCTGGAAAAAGAGGAAACAAGAAAATTACAGGGCAGATGCAGAATATCATATGAATGGAAAACACCAGATTTTTTTCTCTCAAGTCATGCATGTAAATTTAGATGCACTTACAGTGAACATGTAATATACCAAACCACCACCCTCAAGTCAAGTAAAAAATAACAAATAGTATTAGTGACTTTCTTCTGCAATGTTTGCCATTTCGGGGGCAGTAGCTATCCCTGAACTTTCTTTACACGCTTTACTTGTTCTTTCCTTGCTATAAAACTATTACCATTAATAACCATCCCAGTGATTTCAACTGGAAGGTTACTTGGACTGAACATTGCTTTGGTTTAACAACTGAATATACATAAATGCAGTCAGTTGGTTTTATTTACTCTTTATGTCTAGCGGAATAGAGTTGTGCATCAAGGGAAATAACAGGGCTGATTCCTCATCTCTCACTCTAACCTGTTCACATCATTTCACTGCTGCAAAGTACTCACAGATCTCAACAGAAACTGAAAATGATCCACGTCACATAACGTACTGGTTTCCACCCAAAGGGCCGGCAGCCATGGGATGACAGCCTGTTGCTGTCCCCGGCAGTGGTGGCACGGGAGGAGCTGTGCAGTTCCCCCACACGCCTCCACGCTGCCATAGGGAGAGGCAGAGTCACACCTCCTGTGCCTCCTTGCCTAAGGACTTGCACCAAATACAGCTCAGCTGAATTCAAGAGCTAGGCTCAATATATAACTCCAGATCTCACAAAAACACTCGTGCTAAGAATAATTTTCCCATCATATGTGTGGTTTTCACAGAGTGTTAATAGATCCTGCTTCGTGGCCCTACATAACCAGCTCTTTTCGAAACAAACTTAGAAATGCCGTTCTTACCGTCTTTAGCAGAAAGGGCATAAAGCAGTGCTCTGTCAAGGCCAGCCACCACACACAGGGATACCTGGTATTACGAAAAATGAAGCTGCTTACAGAAGATCGCATCAACCCTGAAACTCTGTACAGAAACAGCAAAAGAGTGTTTCTAACAAAAGAAAGGCATCTTTACAAGGTTAATACAGAGCCCTCCAGGCTAGCACACATGTCTTGTTTTCATTATTCTCTGCCCAGGAAGCATTTATCACTATGAATTCATTGAAAATTTTGAAATACAGTAAAATGAGGAGAGCAGACTTACAGGAAAACCTCTCCCCTTGCTGCAATCTGTTCAGGAGAGAGAGGAAAGGATATTCGTATGTGCGTGTAGGAGAGAGGGAGAGAGGGAGAGAGAGAGGTTTGAGGTGGGGGAGTATACCCAGAGGAAATACAAATACCATTTCACAGTGAAAGTGCGAGAACACAGTATCTGTATTTTATCTTTGTACAGGTTCCATCAGTGTATAAGGGAAAATGAATCTTGCTAATTTAAAACAGCTACAGTGACTTGCAAAAATGTAAACAAGCTGCTACTGAAACTTTGGGGAAAATTATTTGAAAATTGATTGCCTTTTTGACATTCAAGACAAAAGGACAGAAGTTCTCTTACATTATCCTAACTGAAAAAAGCACTTCTTGTTACTTCTAGAATTGTAACTGCATAGTTCTATTATGATGATATTTTTATTTAGCTTTTAATACCTTATGATTCTAAAATTTTGGAAAATACCTGTTAGTCTCAGCAGAAGTAGAAATAATTTTGCGAACAACATCTGAGTGTGGGGCTCAGTTAGCAGCAGGTGCTGTCTCCATTGCAGTGCCCAGCACTCTGCCAGATGCCAGGGTCCATAGGATATGAAACCAGAGAGCTGCGATTCTGACGTGTGCCCCAGGACTGCTGTGGTGAAACACAAAAGATCTGCTTATGGTCACCATTCTGCAGATGCAATTACTTCAGCATTGTCTTTGCCACACCACGAGTTAGAAGTGTTCCCAGCTTGACTCTGCAACCTAGCTTACAATGAATATCATTTATCCCCAAGACGTTCCTTCACTCCAGTTTGCCTAATTGCAGAATGAGGTCCATGCTGTCTCTGAGTAAGACAGAACTTCAAGATAGATGTTGAAAGAAGTATAGCAGATGTTTAATGGAGAAACAGGCAGATTTCTGCAGTAAAATGCATGCCATCAAAAGTCAATAAAACTTACAAAAGGCAAACTGTATTTAACAGAGAGGATGCAAATATCCAGGATTTAAATAGTGATCTGCAGTTTGTGACTTTAACACAAGAGACTAGCAATACTGCCATTAGCAATGCCATTTCATCTAAACAAAATGGCATTTCAGGAAGGATTTCACATCCATATTCTTGTGCTACACACCTTTCAGGGCAGACCTGACAACAAGCCACATGGGACTGCATCATGCAACCTGAGATCCCGCGTTGCTAATCCAGCAGAGGAGTTTACTCCTCAGCAGCCCCACCTCTTCTGGTAAATCTCGTCTGCCTCTGGAATGGTTTCCTTGCATTAATTCAGTTTAGGAAGTGAAATGAAAGCAGAGGGGGGGAAGAAAAAAAAAAGGAAAATCAATGAGAAGCTTAGTCAATATGACCAATCTAATGCATTAGATTGTTTCGCTCAATTACATTTCTTTTCCCCTGGCTTAATTTAGATAACCATCAGGTAAAAGAGGAAAAAATAGCTATATACGATTAATGCAACAGAAGGTATCAATTGATTTAAGCAGCTAGCCAAAGCAGTTAGCAATGCATCTATTTCTTGGTTAAATTATTCTCCTAGATCTGCATAATACATGCATGACTGATATTTTTATCTAGAGCATTAAACTTAATGGCTGGTTAGTTGAAATACAAAACTGTTCTGAACAAATTCATGAAGTTCAGAGAGCTGGTGTAGGTCCCAGAAATACCCATCTGTCAATACATTTTAGTGGTCCCTGCAGCGTCGTACTGAAACATCTAAAGACTCTGCATTTATGAAGGGCTGGGTACATATTTGCAGTTGCTTGAATTTAACTATGTATTGATATAATATTCTGAAAATTGTTTTCAGAATCTTAGGTGTAATAGCTCAGCCAGCTACAGCAAACAGCTAACTTTACTTTTTTGTGTTTTCTTTCTCTACAGGTATACCCAGTATTTCCAGTATTGGTAGTAAGTAATAAAACCAGTATTGTTTTGCATCGTCATTCAGCTTCTTGGATCTAATTTCCCAACATCCCTTTCTGTTGTAGATAATGTTCCTCTGAAAATGTGCTCTATAGCGCAGGGCTATGTATTGGCTTTCCTCTGTTGCATTAACATATAACCGTATTATGCGGTCAGAGAGAATGTCACTCGTGACATCTGCCTTCAACCACAGATTTTCTGATCAGTTCTGATGAGCAGATGACAACTGAGTGCTATACAGAGAATTAAGACTGTTCCACAGAAAATATTTCTTCAGCATTTTTTCCAAAATAAGTGTTTGCTAATACAGAGAAATATAGAACCATTAATTTTCATGCGTGTATGTACTTGTGTAAATTCAAAGAGCAAATGGAAGAGTTTATAAATGTAAGGGTTTTCAGTTCTATGAAGTAGCTTAAGTCTATCTGCTGGAATCTTTGCATTAACTCCAGCAGCCTTTGAACTGGGCTTTACTCCACAAAATAAAAAGAACTGTGTTCCTTCACAAAAACCTGCTTTCCTAGTAGGCAATTAAAACACCAAAATATTACACTTAAACTATAACCAAACCTTAACACCATTATATAAAGAACTGCTATGTCAATGAAACAGGTGATTAGTTAAATAAAACACTTGAAGGGACTTAGTGCACAGTAGCTCAGCTGTGAGTCTCAGCTGAGTTCCACAGCTGAGAAGTGCACACAGTCATGGCACGTTAGCTGATTACAAATAAAACAGGGAGGCAGAAATGAGATCCTGCTGTGGCTGACTGGAAAAATAATCCCCACAGCCTCAGCTTTGTAGAGGCGTTAGACACAACTTGTGTGATGCAGGACTATCACAATGATAAAATATCACAGTAACAAAATGCGGTTTAACATACCTGATATCCAACTGAAAAGCTTCTAATAATTTGGGTAAAACTGTCTCGCTTCTTATGATGCAGGGTCAGGTCTGTCAATTTATAAATCAGCTCAATTTACTTAAGCTCATGAATGGCGCTGATTTGTTAAGCTCTAGACAGCAAGTCAAATGCCATCAAAACTAGCCTCCTTGCAAATAAGAGCAGTATTAACAGCTGAATGCCATGGCATCTGGTTTACAGCTTTAAATAGTGACACGGCGTCAATGACAATAACATGCAAATGAAAGCCTTCAGTCTTAATAGTGTAATTTTCCTGCTATAATATCTCCTTTGGCAGTTGCATGCCTGCAAATGCATAGTGATATGCTATTTTCAAAATTTTGTGTTCATACATATATTTTATAAACAAAAAATAAACTAAATGAAAGAGAAGTTTATGTCGCTGTTCTCAGGAATATTCTTGGCTCTAATAACAGAAATGGGATGAATGGGAAAATAGTTCCTTGGAGTTCGGTTGTGCTACAGTTTCTTAGTACTGTGTTGCATGGACTATATGGTTGTGTTTTCACTTCACACTCCATACAGCCTTCGTCACCACATCTACCATTTCTGAGCATCAGCAGATGTTGGCCTTTGAAAACTTAATAGGGAAACTCAAATACCTTTTAAACAATGGTGAACCGAAAGGATGCATTGTTGACCTCTTTGTATTTTACACTGGAGTGATTAGAGAAAATTCTGTTTAACGTTCCATAGGAAATACAAGAGTTTCTGCAAGTCTGTGCTGTATCTTTAATCTCCTGTAAATGTCTTGGAATAATATGTGGTAGAATTCAACAAATTTCTTTGCCTACCTAGAAAGGATGGAGCATGAGCATCTCTTCATGACCACAAGTAGATACCGATACTCTGCTTGGTTTTTTCATGTGTTTTTTCTTACACAGCTCAGGGGGGAAATAGTTCTACTTGCACAATGTTCTGAACATCTTTCCTATAAGATAGAAATAGCAGAATTATTGTTAAACAAGGATAGAACCCATAAATTTATCCTGGTCTCTAAGAGAATTTAACAGAAGTACAACTGACACATAAAACCAAACAAGATTAATTAGTTGTGGCTGCTTTAGTGGATTCTGCATGACTTTTTCTTTTGTCTATGCTAATACAATGTTTGTGTTCATATCAGCAGAGTTTTTTCCCCATCTGGGGACAGGAAGTTACTCTCAGGAGATAGTTTAGGTTTTATTTTGCCTGGCAGCAAACACTAATGGGGGGGAGGGTATTTGCTTTGGTGTGCTTCAAGCTTTTTTCTAGTACATAAGGAGGATGGGCTTGGGGTGAGGGGTTACAAAGACTAAACTGCCAGCATACAAAGAAGATGCCACTGCAATGAAAGCAAGCAAAGAAAAAGAAAATATATTTACGTGTGTGCACATATATGTATCATTCTCTACTCTGTTTTTTTACCTTAAAGGGTCTTGTATTAAAGCAGCTCATCATGAAAGTTTGAACATAAAGAAAGAGTGGTCACTAAGTAAACATCCTTTCTGATCATCTAGAAGAAAAAAAAAAAAAAATCAGAGCTTTCCCATTAAGGTTGTTTGTACCTGCTGTTGTCTATCAGTTGAATAATAGGTTCTCTGATCATTTCCAGCATTATGGTTTCCAGTGCTGGCCCTTTCAGCATTTTTCAGCCATGTCTGGAAAAATACTGGTGAAAGTGTTAGCAATTAATGAGTCCCAAAACCATTTCATAATTTTAAGCAATGCTTACCTACAGTATGTAAATATTCTGAAAACTACATTATTTTACTTGCTAAAATAATGATTGTACAATTTTACATAGACCGATGCATCAAAATGTTAATTTTTGTGAAAAAACACCAAAGTTACTAATCTGTATATGTATGCCTTCAAAAAGTTGAATCTCCTAAACTAGAGCTTCGTTCTCTATTCCTGTAAAGCATAACTCCACTAATTATGCTAAACAGTTGTTATAAAGGGTATAATTAGATACAGGATAGGATAGACGTGATTTGCAAATAGCTCTGTGTGGGTGATTATCACCTTAAAGCCTGCTGGTGGCAGATGAGTCAGAGTTTAGAGACAGACCGTGCACCCAAGTGCAAGATGCAATCACGATAATCAAATGGTATTTTCTACTTTGTTCTCTATGTTTTTGTTCTTCTTTATAGCCAGTTGCAAATTAAGAGAACTTTTTTTTTTTAACGATAATGAATGCAAGACACAAAAGTAAAAAAAAAAAAAAAGACTGAATGGGCACTCTTTTATTTTATTGTTTTGTTAACCTTGAAAGAGCTAGTAGATATTTTTCTGGAACTAAAATAGCGTCAGGATGAGTGCAGCTTTAATTATTTTACACATTTGTTATGAAATTGTAATGTAGCAAACATATATCAAAATGTTGTGAGAGCAAATACTAGCGGTTTTTTTTTTCTTTTTTTTAACAACACAAAGTATTTTCAACCTGATTTTGCCCCTTTGTGGTAACTGAGTTCTCTCATTTAAATTTACAGTCATGGGATCAAAGCCATTACAATGCCAAGCTCTGGACTACAGTACATACACAACACCCACATGTGTCAGTAGGATATAAACATGCATAACTAGATTGTACATTACTTTTCTATTATTATTTGAGGTCAAGTTTTACAGAGAGAGCTGTACTGTTGAGAGACCATTAAGATGTTTTTCTCCTTAGAACTTTTAAATATTGTCTTCGGACTATATATATTATTACAAACATACTAGCAAAATATTCTCATTTCAATTCCATTTTATCCAAATTTGACTTTTTAATAAATATTACTGTTAATCAGGCTCCTAGTCTAAGGCAATCACCTTATCTAAGTAACAGATTATAATATCAAGCCGGTAACAGTATTTGTTTTCCCTCCCTTAATATTTTGAAGCACTCAGAATTTTTCACTTTAACAGGTAGATTTTCCATGATATTAAAAACATTACTAGCCTGAAGGAAAATACTGATAGCCTCTGTCATAAAATGCACTCATTTGAATGCTGGGTCTGAATTTAACATTCCAAATAAAATACATTATGAGTAGTTTACTTACCTGGTAGGATTCATAACAAAGCCAGTTTTCTTCTGTATAACTAGGATTTCACCCTTGAAGTTCACTAAGCAGAGCACCTGCACTGACCCCAGGGCTGGGACAAAACCATCTCTTTGCAGAGTGATTTCTAGTGCGGGGTCAGAAATTACCAACACTGCTCTAGGGAGCACTGACGGGTTGTTGGGGTGGGATTTGGGGGAGCCTTTGTTTCAGTTTTTGTTTTGCCAGATCCACCAATTTTAGCAGATAAGAAGAGCCATTCTCACCAGTCGAGTAGACATGGCCACTGTCAGTTTAGTATTGTTTCTCAGTCTTCATCCCAGTTTACCTTCATCATCTTGGGTTAGTTAAAAACAGTGTATCAGTCTAATAGTCTTTTCAGTGCTTTTTTGATTTGCTGTAATAGATGAGAAATTCTTTAGTTCACAGTTATCTTTGTTTTAACCATTAATAAACAATCACAAGACAGGAAACTATTGAAAATGAGATACCACCAGTTCAATATGTACCATGGTACCCATGCAAAACACATTGCACTTGCAATATGCAAGTTTAGCTGCATTTACTCAAGAAAGTTTATAGAGAGCAGACATGATCCACAAAGATATTTAAAAATCTAATTATCTATAGGGGATAAATTGCTGGGGAAAAAATACACTTCTATATTTTTCCCTCTCCTCTTTTTCTTTCTGTCCCCCAGACATGTAATCAGTTTATTTCATAGAGTATAAGGGAAGAATGAGGTTTCCAAATCAGCATTCTGCTTTTTAAAAAAATATTTTGATTTCCTTTTCTTCATCAGTTGTGAGTTACTGTACAATAATCCTAGTTGACCAACCAGTTTCAGCATCTTTGTAGGAAAAAGCAAAACCAATCAAAATAAAAAGGAACAACCCCTGCAAACTTTCAACAAAATTATTTACTTTTTGTCATGAGATAGTACCTAAATATTTGCTTCCAACAAGACTTGAATTCATTGTGCACTTTTGCAAACATTTTAATGGAAAGACTTACAATTGAAGAAT